TCTCTCTCTCTCTCTCTCTCTCTCTCTCTCTCTCTCTCTCTCTCTCTGATTCCCCCAGGGGCATGAGGAGGATTAGGAGCGGCATCTCATCTCACTGTGTCCTTGTGTCCGGCCTTGTTCCCAGATTCTGGGATACGGTCAGTCCCCACAGGGGTCACTACTCACCAGTACTAGTGAGAACTCGGAGATTACATTTACAGAGCGTGTGCACTGTAACACATGATGGTTCTTATTGTCACTTGGCCAAGGGGAAAACAGGTGCAAAGGCAACACAGCTAATTGCTAAATCCAGTCAGCTCCGAACAGTCGTGGGTTATTACGTCCTCCCTTTCCTTGAGGTACGGTTACAGATAAGACCCTTCAATCTCTGGCTGAGGTCCGGAGGTGGTACAAGGAAAAGGGGCCTCATTTACTCTTCCCTTCACGTCCCCTTCTCGCCCTGGATACACCCATGCCAGGCTGCTAACCTTTGTCTCCATCGTTGGAAATCTTACGCAGGTCAATGAAATGGGTGCCAATGGCCACGTCATTGACCTTGTCGGAGTCTCGGATCTGCACCTTCATGCGTTTGCAGAGCGGGGGAAACAGGTCTGTAAAGACGACCTGCTCATTCCACAGCGGCTCATAGCTGCTCTTCTGCACGGATGTTTTGCCCTGGTGAGAAGAAGTCAGGGCTAGCATGTGCTGTGTGGTGTATGCGTTCCCAGCTGGAGGTTCCAGATTTCTCCTGGTGTGCCCCTTCCTCCCATCCACCGCCTGTTCTTTAAGCCCATCATCCCATCCTTCAGAATTTCCGTCCTCAGTACCTTCTGGCCAGCAAAGAAGACTTGCACATAGGGGTCGACGAGATCCTTGTTCTCCCCAATGAAAGCCTTCTTCACGTTGGCCATGAGGCTGGTGTTCATCCGGGGCAGTCCCTCTGCTCGGTAAATTTTTACGTAGAACCGGGCCCACTGACGTTCTGCGGGCACACCTTCCGGGAGCAGCAAGTTCCTGTGAGAAGCAGGCAGCACATCAAATCCACCATGAACCAGGCTTAGAGAATCAGCCTTAGGTCCTTAGTTAGACCAAGAGCTAGTCAAGGAGTATGACAGGAGGAGAGGTGGAGAGGGAGATGAGACAGAGCAAGTGTGCACTTGCACATGAGTGTTCTCTGTCTTGTATGCATGTGTGTATGCACACACACACACACACACACACACACACACACACACACACACACAAGCCTGTCTCCACCCCGCCACCCCACATCTTAGCAGTTGCATCCCCCTGGGGCCTGGCATAATCTGTGAAGGACAGCTTCAGAGGACCCACACTTTTATTAAGGACACTAATTCGTGGTCCTATCCACTTTTAGGATTCTGGGAAAAGCTTCTCATCTCATCAAGATTCAGCTTCCCCCACATTAAAGTGGCAATAATACAAATAGCCACTTCCCAGGAAAGCAACACACAGGCTACAGTGCGTGGAGGATGCTAATCATGACGTCAAATCTCAAATCTGTTTGCCACCTTTCTCCCCATGACAAAAACCTCTCAGGGGCCGGTCTCCTCCCCCAGCCCGTGGGAGACCAGGCTCACTGGACCCCAGCACATTTCGAGAGTCCAGACGATGTCCTGGAGTGTTTCTGAGCAGCCATCACCCGCTGCTGAGATTGGCACACTGAATGCCATCTCTCTGCTGCCTGAGTACATGGCACTGGAACCCTCGGGCCCTGGCAGCAGTAGGACTCCTAGGTGCCAGCATCTCCTCTTTCCACCAGCTTTCTCAGTTGGAAATCTGATGCCAAAGCACTGCCCTCTGTTAACTCAGCAGCCACACTGCCCCGGGCTCTGGGGGAGAGACTGGCAGGGTGGGTCTTGGAAGTAAGGGAGCGACAGAAAGAGCTCTGGGTTCAGGCCACTTCAGGACCTTCCTTTTGGGGGATGGAAGGGTTGTGTGCAGGGCTCTAGGGGAGATGGGGGCCTCACCCCTCG